TCTAGTGATTTCTCCTTAAACATAATATTTTTACCGACTGAACATTTTTATTGACATGTTGGAAGTTTAAAAAGACAGATGCTGGATCAAAATACAGGTAGTCCTTGACAATAGAGGCCAATATTGTTGTTAAGGGAGACATTGTACGACCTTTCTTACCTCAGTTGTTAAGTGAATCAGGGCAATTGATAAGTTAGTAACCCGGTTGTTAAGTGAATCTGGCTTCCGCATTGACTTTGCTTGTCAAAAGTTTGTAAAAGGCATCACGTGACCTTGGGACACAGCAATGGTCGTAAGTATGAACCATTTGCCAAGCGTCTGAATTTTGATCACATGATCATGGGGATGCTGGAAATGTAGTAACTCTGAAAAATGGTCATAAGTCACTTTTTTCAGTGGTGTTGTAACTTTGAATGGCCACTAAGCAAACTGTTTTAAGTCGAGGACTACCTGTAAAACAAATCTCTGCAACGTTAGTGGTACATTTTGAGTTTCATAATATGAAAGAGATGTAAAAAAAATGGAAAGAGTTTTGATTGAACTGAGATTTCAAATATATGTATGTATTAATTTCTAGGCATCTTTGAAGAAATGCTACCTAGGAAAAACACAGCGCTTCTGTCTGGGGCTTGAAGTGTACGGCTTGGAAAACATGCTATGAACTAACGCCAGAGATGAGCATTGGTGCATAAAGCTATGAAAAATGCACTGTCGGTTCCTAAGTGAAACAAATTATGATACTTTACCATAGATTGCTGACATGCACATCTTTTGCTGTGCTTCTAGTTATTGATTTGCACGCTAGTTTCTAAACTATGTTAGAAATCATGCACTTCCTTGGAAGATATCAGTGTTTTTTCTGTTGAAAAATTAGTAAAGGAGGAAAACGTTTGTGAAAGACAGTGCCACAAATCTCAATATTCTTGGCCCTGTAGGGTCAGAATATTGTTATTATTTATTCAGGCTTCTATCCCACCCCAGTCCAAAGAATATTGGATGTATGCCTATTTTATAAAATCAAGCAGTTGTAGATTCTCATGTAAAGTGATGTAGAAAGAACTTCTATTTATAGGGTATGTGAAATGTGTTGATTTCTTTACCTGTCAATTGTCTAACTTCACAAAAAGTTAAACTGTAATACAGTTTGATTTGGGTTTATCGTGTTGCATTTACCACACTATAATCCATAGTCTGTAATCCATAGTTTATGGATACTGTGATGTATATAATGGCATCAAGGTTGACTCAACCTTCCATCCTTCCGAGGTCAGTAAAATGAGGACCCAGATTATTGGGGGCAATATGTTGATTCTGTAAACCACTTAGAATCACTCTGTAAAGCGGCTTGATTTTTTTCAAGTCTTCCTGTGAGCTTGGGGGGAAAAAAGAAAAACGTGAGTGCTTTAGGAATAGCTTTGAAGATTCTTAATATGTTTTTAAAAGCTGCTTTGGAGATTTCAAGCTTTAAAAAAAATCCTTAAAGCATCAGCATTTTTTTTTTTTTTAGATTTAGGCATAAGCTTGAAAAAAAATCAGGTTGCGCTAATGAAAAGATGTGGTGCTTGAATAGAGTCCGAAGCATTCTCTACTTTTGGGAGTGTGTGCATCCTTTGTGAATGTGACACACATATAAGAAAATTTGGAACTAACAATGTCTTCTCCACGAACAATTGAAGGAACTATTGTAACTCACAGTGGTAGACCAAAGTTTCCAGCAGACATTTAATTACAGAATTTCCCCTTGTGAACTTCTGGAGCAGTGGTGGGATTCAAAGATTTTTACCACCGGTTCGGTGGGCATGGCTTGGTGGGTGCACTTTGCGTGCGTGGACACACTTTCCGTGCGCACGTGCATCAAATGCGCACTTCGCGCAGGCACAGAGGCGTTCCAATTCATCTCCTGCAAGCCTGCACTCTCTTCAGCAGCTGCTGCGCAGCACTCTGCTGTGCCTTGCAAAGCAGCTGTGCTTCAAAATCAGGGAATAAAGGTGAATATGGGAGCCTGGGCAGGCAGGTGGGCCCAACAGCAGAGCGGTGGAGAGAACCAGTTTGGTCTCTGCTGCTCATTGGCTTTACTGGCTTGGCAGAACCGGGCCAAACCGGTAGAATACCACCACTGTTCTGGAGCATTTTTTCATGCATAATACCTCCTCCTTTATAGTGGATTTTGGGAATCTAGGAAGATACAGATCATTAACTGAACGAACTCTCTGTTTTTTTCTTACTTCCTTTCTCCCTGTCTTGAATTTTTCTATAAGTCTTCAAGACGAATGGCACCACATGTGCTAATGCACTGGAACTGTATTTGCTCTCAGTGAATTACAAGTAGTCCTCAACTTACAACAAACAGTTCAAGGTTACACTGAAAAAAAGTAGCTTTTCACACTTACAAGCATTGCAGCACCCCTACAGTCATGTGATCAAAATTCAGACACTTAGAACTGAGTCATATTTATGATAGTTGCAGCATCCCAGGGTCCTGTGATCACCTTTTGCGACCATCTGACAAGCAAAGTCAGTGGAGAAGCCAGATTCACTTAACTGTATTACGAACTTAAGAACTGCAGTGATTCACTTAATTGTGGCAAGAAAAGTCGTAAAGTGAGGCAACACTCACTTAACAAATGTCTCACTTAGCACCATAAATTTTGAGCTCAATTGTGGTCGTAAGTCAAACATGAATGAAGTTTTAGTATTTTATTTATTAAAATTCCCAGGTAGTATTTCACTGATCAAATAATATATTCCATGATTACAAACCTGGAAACTATCATTTCCACCAATTATTTTTATGCTTTTGTCTCTTTAAAGCTAAATGTGTTTCAGGCTTGTTCATCTTTTGCTACCGGACCCAGACAGGAACTTGGCACTATCTATGAATTTCGCACTTATGACATTAAGCCAGCAAAGACAAAAGAGTTTCTTGAATTGGTCAATAAATATATTAAGATTCGTACAGTTCACTCACAGATGACTGGATTCTGGACAGCTGAATTTGGGGCAATGAATAAAGCATTTCATATTTGGAAATATGGTATGAATTGCATGGTGGTGTTTCAAAGAGGTTGAATGTGGCTTTTAAAAGTTTGTTAGGTTATATGGTTACCATCCTTGGGTTACAAATAACAAGGTCCAAAAGAGTTTCAGGACCTTTTGGGGTTAATGAAGACAGTTTAGAAGTACTATTTTGTTAAATAAGCAATAGGAAACAGCGAGAGTATTCACCCTTCTGCTTGCTGATGCACATCAAATTGCCTGCCAGTGAGAAAAGTTGGTAATGGACATTTCCATTACTGCCTGGAAAATTCTGAGGCATCAAGGCTCACAATCTATAACTGCTAAAGGAGGCCCAGGTCTCTCTCGCTCATCATCTGGAGTCCCTGTCATCTGCTGAAACCATTTGGAGTTTAATTCACAATTTTCATAAGTATTGGAGATTATGCAACAGTGCATGGCCCAGCAAAACAGCATGTGAGATTCTTGAAGAGAAAATAGGATGGAACAGACTGTATGTATATTCCAAGGCCACGTTTTAGAAAGTTTTGTTCTCTAATAGTAATATGAAGTTAAAACTTTTTATGAAATGTTAATTTTATTTCTCTATACTTTTGTACACTTATCATGGAAGCAAATATAACACGGCTCTAAGAAGTTCAATCTCTTTCCTTTCACAGATAATTTTGCACACAGAGCAGCTGTAAGGAAAGCTGTAGTCAATGATAAAGAATGGCAGGAAAAACTAGCTGGAATTCTTCCACTTCTGGATAAGCAGCATATGGAAATTGCTTATATGGCTCCCTGGTGTGAGTTGGGAACCCCACCAAAAGAAGGTCAGTTCTCTTGCTCCTCAACCTGTTGCACTGATTTCGTAGTCAGTGAATGGAATTTCACAGAAACTCAGAAATTGTTTGAGGAGATGGTCTAAGGAAGATAGTAATATTGCTCGGTTTGGAATCATACATGTTCACTAAAATTATGGAGCACACCTGATTAGTAATATTCATTAGTTTCTTATGGAGGAATAAAGGGAGGAGCCAAGATTAGCAGCTTCTGAAATAAAGTTGCAGAAGTTTATTTCAAGAAGCCGCTTTGCCATTTGCAACAGGGCTTACCACTTCTGGTTTAACTTGATACCCCCAAAATGGCTCCCACAGGCAAAAAAAGTACCTAGTTATGTTACTGAAACCCATAAATCTTACTGAGGTAATAAACTTTAGCTCTTTTTCTTTTTTACAAGCTGTTTCCCCCCCCACCCCCTTGCCTCTAACCATCCTGTAAAGATATACATATGCCAAAAAAACCATAAGTGACATATTTATACTTCTTTCCACAGCAACCAAAACAATACTTCAAAATATTCATTCTTTTAATCTCCTTTTAAAAGGTATCATATTTTCCAAGTCCTTATTTATATTTGTGTATGTGTGTGTGAGAGAGAAATTACTATGTCTATTCCTGTCTCTTAAAATGATTTCATGCATTGGTAAAATGGGGTTTTTAAAGTGGTCAAATTATATTTAAATCTTTTCTGTTTGAGACAGGCGTGGAATCTGTGGAATAATGGGCATACCTACACAAATATAATTCTGAATTATGAACTGAAAGTAAATTTAAACCCAAGAAGGCATAGGCAAAAAGTAAAATGAAATTGAATTTAGATCAGTGGTGAAGATGTAGAAATACTGTACTGTAAGAAATGAGTTGCTTGTTTTTGCCTCACTGCCGATAATAACCTGAAAATGATTTTTTTCCTCCTAGGAGTTTATGAGTTGGTGACTTATCAGCTAAAACCAGGTGGACCAGCTTTATGGGGAAATTCATTCAAAGCAGCTATTGATGCACATGTTAGTAAAGGCTACGCAAAACTGATTGGCTTTTTCCACACAGAATATGGATTTCTTAATACAGGTACAGGCTCAAGATTTTTCTTATTTCAAATACAAAATCATGCTCCAATATATATATATTTATATTCCTATAATTTATAACTTCACACATGCTCAGATATATGTACAGTATAGCATAGGAACAAGAAAAATGGTATCAGGTGGGCCCAGATTTAGTCATATTTAAAAGATAAAACTTTTGGAACATTATTTTTGTTTTGCCCGTTAAATAAGTTCTGTTCATAGCAAATGGCAATGCATCAGTTATATCATTGCACTATTGAAAACAGGATCCCCACTTCTAGCATCATAAGAATATTGTCTAAATATTTGGAGAAAATTCTAGGAGTACAGCTGTCTTACAGCGTGCCAGTTTGTTGGTTCATCTATTTCATGTTTACACTTATTGGCAATGGCTTTCTGAAGTTTTGGAAAAAGTTTACCTACTTTTTGGGAGGAAATGCAAGGACTATACCTGAAATTTTAGAACACAGAACATGGGATACAGTTATTTAACTCTAGAACAGGGGTGGCCATCTTTGCAACTTTATGACTATTAAACTTCAGTTCCCAAAATTCCCCAGTCAGCCATGCTGACAGGGGAATTCTGGGAATTGAAGTCAAGTCTTAAAGTTAGCAAGGTTGGATATCCCTGATCTAGAACAACACCGTGCCTCTATATCATATCTGATATACATTGTTTTCCGTAGCTCTGTGCCTAGTCTTTATAGAATTGTACAGAGGTCTCAGGGCAGAAAATTGTTTGTGGACATTGGAACTTGAACATCATAATTTGTCCTATAGATTTGTATGCACACCTTCTGGTAGTACTGTGTTCTTGCTTTTACTTTCACAGTTCATGTGCTTTGGTGGTTTGAGAATCCAGATATCCGGGCAGCTGGGAGGCATATGGCCCATGAAGATGCCAGAGTGGTAGCAGCTGGTAAGATATTACTGTGCATCTTGGAATGTCTATCAAGCTTTTATATATGTTTGAGAGAGTGTATTTTCTCATTTTCAGTTCGGGAGAATATTCAGTTCTTGGAAACCCAACAAAACATGCTCCTGATTCCTGCATCGTTTTCACCTTTGAAATAGTTTTATTCCAGTTGAACGACATCACATAAAAAATTATTTTCTGCAATCCTCATCTGTAGTTTTTTATCCATAAAGGCAGATTAAGGGTAGTTTGAAATAATAATCATTATATGTGGAAAATCATGTTACCTTCTCAAATATTATAGATACTTTTCTAATCATCTGCATAAAAATAGATTCAAATTATATGAGTAAATAAGGACTTAGTACAGGATATTTGTACTGAATTGTTTAGAACTGAGAATAAAAATATGGGGGATATATCTAAAATAATTTCATTCTGGTGTTACACTCATATTTAAATATCTTAACTTATAAATAAAACTAAAAACTAATTATAAAATATAATAAACTAAAACTGCTCAAACTTATGGTGTCACACTATTTAATCAGGAAATCTCATGATTAATAATATAGATTGCAGTGAGATCAAGAAAATGATTATAGCTGAAATGTATTTATTCTTGAATATTTGGTGATGGATCTGAACTTTTTATGATATTTATCATTGCATGATGATTGAGATTGTTAAATGCAAAATTAAATACATTTTCTGGATTGTGTGTATGCAATTCTATCATTTCCTATCCAGCCCATTGGCCATTCCACTCATTCTGTTTATGTTATGTATCTCTGCAGGCTTCTTAAATGGCAGATTGTAGATTCCATATATCCCATCCTTTAAAATTCTGAAGGATAGGTTCTTCAATCTAAAAAAGTCATCAACACATTGCAGAATTTTGAAATATTGTATATTTTCATGGATTACATAAAATATTTTTCATTCATTTTTAAAAAGTTTTATACATCCCAGAACTAATTTTAATTCTTATGTCTTTGGTTGAAAACTGAACTTGACTTGATTCTTCCAGTCATCTTTGCTATTATGTGTGCTTTTGTGGGAGTAAACATGCATGGAACTTTTATCTAAGTTGGTATGTCAATCTAGACTGCACACCTACTTTACATATTAGAAATAACACTCCATAAACTTGAGAAAGGGCTACAACTGAAGCTGCTTTACTTTCATTCACCTTCCTCTTAATATTTTAATTCAAAGTCTTTGATTCTGCAGTTCCGTAAGTTTGAAAACAGATGAGTTGGACAATTCCAATTCCTCCAAATTTGAAGTCCACCACATCTGAAGGACATCCAGAAGGCTGCCACAGCAAAACAAAGCATTTTCCTCCTTGAAGCCGTTTGTTTCATTTTGCCTTAGCCTGAATGTGTAAACACAAGGCGGTTTGCTATGTGCTGCTGCATAGGTGAGCCAAAATATAGTTAAGGACTTAAATGTGGATTCACCTTTTCATGATTTTATCTTTATACTGTAATGCCTTAGTCATACAGTGCATAACACACACACATACCCTTGCAATAGTAAAATTCCAGTTTTCAGTTCAGGATCAGAGAACACACAATACAGTACCATATTCACAAAACAAGCATTTCTACCACTCTTTGCGATAGTCCTCCCAGAAGCTCCGGGGAGAAATTTTAATTGAGGATCTATACAAATATTATGAGTAAATAATGCTGGAAATAATAATTCTGGAACTGAGAAGCCAGAAATCCCACTGACAACTCCCCTTTCCCTCGCGTGTAATATTTGTTTCACTTTGCAAAACCAGATCCTTCGCGCCAGCGCGTCCCCCTGGAGTTTCGCAGGGGGGAGGTTTGAACTAGTTAAAATGCAAGAAAACCCCCAAGAGCGGCTGGATTGCAATCTTATCGGCTCCAGCAATCCCGGCCCAGGATCAAGGATGGCCAGAGTTGTAATTTAACCCACATCTCAGATCCAGAAGTAAGACTTCCGCGGCCCGACGGAGAGATTGTATCTTCCTCATCCCTCACGTGTCGTAGTGAGGAAAGGGATGGGAAGAGGCGGATCCCTTTCGCTGCGCTTAGTGAGGAGGCGGCTACGAGGTTCGCCTCGGCCTATGCTTCGCCTCCATGCGGCGGCGGCGGGCGGGCCAGATAGCTGTAGGAAGTGGACGTTCCCCGCCCTTAGCTGGGCTACGTGCCGTGGCTGTTGTTGCACCGCTACTACCTTTGTGGCACCCGGGCAATCAGGCCATGAGGGGGCCCCGGGCTCTCCTCAGAGGAGTCGCGGCAGCGGCGCGAGCGGTGGGTGCCCAGGTAAAAGGGAGGGAGCGAAGGGAGACGCTTGGGGTGGAGGACGGAGGCAGGGGACGAGCGCCGTCTCCTTCCCGTTCCTGTGAGGTGCAGGCAGGCAGAGGTCCAACAGGTGGGGCCGGCCCTGAAAGAGAAGCTCGGCAGGGCTGCTGCTGCTGCTGCTGCTGCTGCTGCTTAATCTTTGCCCGCTCGCTGTTAACGGCAGAGAAAAGGAGCGGTGAGGAGAGGACAAAAGAGCTGAAGAAGCTATAGGAGGAAAGAAGTCCGCTGGAAGGAAATTTCTATTGGATGCAAAAAGATCCCCAATTCAGATCAGGACTTGAGTTTGGGTTGGAAAAAGGTTTTGAAGAAAGAAAGCTGATCAAAGCTTCTCTGTCTTGCCTTGCCTTTTCTGGTGTTTGAAACAAAGCGCTAGCAGTTAAGGAAGCAAATCAAAAACAAAAACCCAGGAAAAAGAGTATTTTTCCACAAATTCTTTAAGACAGGGCTCTCCAACCTTGGCAACTTTAAGACTTGTGGACTTCAACTCCCAGAATCTGGGAGTTGAAGCCCACAAGTCTTAAAGTTGCCAAGGTTGGAGACCCCTGCTTTAAGACATGCATCCCTTCCTATTCTCCTTTGTTGCCTGTCCACTGATGTTGTCATCCATTGTACCATCTTCCTCTTTACGGGCAGTCTTTGACTTACGACCCACAACTGAGTCCAAAATTTATGTTGCTAAGTGAGACATTTGTTAAGGCGAGATTTGCCCCATTTTACCACTTTTCTTGCCACAGTTGCTAAGTGAATCATGCAGTTCGGCAGTTCGATCCTCATGGGCACAAGGTTGACTCAGACTTACATTCCTTCTGAGGTCGGTAAATTGAGGACCCAGAATGTTGGGGGCAATAGGCTGACTCTGTAAACCGCTTAGAAAGGGCTGGAAAGCACTATAAAGTGGTATATACGTCTATTGCTATTTCAGGTTAGTAACAGCTGTATGAAAAACAGTCATAAGTCACTTTTTCAGTCCCATTCTAACTTTGAATGGTCAGTAAACAAACTGTTGTAAGTCGAGGACTACCTGTATTCATTCTAAACCATCATCTCCCATGTACTCCGAAATACAGGTTTGGGCTGATGATTAGGAAATCACTTTTAAACTAACAAAAGTGATGGGGAAACTGTAGAGACTCCTTCGATGTGTTTGCCAGGTGCAGATCAGAAGATGGGAATCCTCTACCTACGCAAGACAGCAGCTACACTTGCTAAATCCACTCTTCTGTAAATATGGAGCCTTAACGTTTGCTGTGTTAGTGTCAAAAGAATCCTTATTTGTAAAGGAACAAGTACTCCTGCACACAAGATGACATTTATTTGATTTTTTTATATGCCTATTGCTTTAGAAGTAATTCAAGGCAGCAAACATATATCATACTCCTTCCTCCTCTTATTTTTATCACAATAACAACAACCGTGTGAGGTGGATTGGAGTGAGAGAGAGCCACATTCATGTCTAAAGCAGAATTAGAACTCACAGTATCCTGATTTCTAGGCCAGCATCTTAACCACTACACCAAACACATTGCTATTGCAGAACCAATGTAGGGCTGATCTAGCTGTGAATGTATGTATGCATGTAAACTCCCCCCCTCATTTGTTTTTATTTCTTAAAAAATAAAAGTGTTCCACGTGCATTTCCCCCTCCTGCTTCTGCAGTATTTTGTTCTGTTGCTTATTCGTCGATATGTCATTAATTGCATTATAACTGCCTTTGTCATCAAATAATTTGTTATTTATGTTAACAAATAATTAACAAAAAGCCAAAGGCCATCCAGTAATTTTTGCATATGTAAGCAGATTTGAACTGATTTTTCTGCTTTCTGTGTTCTAACTAGTTCAGCTCTGTAATCTTTGTTATATTTCCCTGATTTTCCTGAACTTGATTTAATAAAAATATATGCATTGTTCTAAAACTGCTTTTTTATAACTGTGGGGCATTTGGCTAGCTTGATACAACACATTTTTTCCAGAAGTGCCACATTTGATACGTAAAGTGAAATGTAAAATATTGCATTGTGGCTGTGATGAAACTATGGGAGGAATACTTCAGGGCAGTTGAAGGCTTCTAACAGAAGGGATATTCAATCTGGACTGCAAAATCAAGATGACCACTAGATGGCAGCAACAGATAAATACAAGATACAAGTTTATCTCTTTTCTGCCATATAGTGATCATTTCAAATGTTGCAGTCCAAATTCACTATCCCTTCTATTACTCCTTTTGTTCTGAAGCCTCTATATCTCACCTGTAATGCTCTGTTGCCAGCAACTTTTAAGAAGGCAAAATACAGCAATAAAACTAAAGGGAAATAATGTGATTAAAATGTTTTCATTTGTTAAAAAGCACTGTTTACATCCTTGAGACTCAAAAGTAATTAGTGAATAATCTAGCTCCACTATTGTATACATTTTGTTTTATCTAATAACTTACTGAAATTAATATTATCACTCTCATTTTTTGTTTTTGTTTTTTTCTATCTTTAGTCAGATCAGGTAGAGCAATCAGTGCTTTGCATTGAGTGATTGCTAGTGTAAGACTACCAGCTTGAACAGAAATGAGAGAAAATGTTTAGAGAGTAAAGATGACCTTATTGCTCCATAGATTTTATTTAATTGCAAAATAAATCCAGTTTAGTGATATCAGTGCAGTGGCTTCTCTGGTGTTTGTACAGCAATGATACCTGTAAGATTAAAAGGGGCCAAATTACAACTCTAAAATTACAGGCTTGTACAAAGTCCTATAGAATGACGGTTTGCTGAAATCATTGGCAGGGTTTGTAATTGTGTGAAGCCGTGGTTGATCGATGACAGTGGCTTTTTTTCACCCATTGCAGCAACAAAAATGGAACATATTGCCTTTTGGCCTAGTGGCAGTGTTTGCATCCAGTGAGATAAGAACAGCACTTTTGTGCAAAAGCTGAAAGTAATAAATATAGCTTTTTATTGAAGGGTCAAAAATCAAGGCTGACATTGGTAACCAGGGAATAAGATGTTCTAAGAATCTAATAATAAAACACACACTTGTTTAATCCAGCAATTTGTGTTACCCCACAGCCATTCAGATTGTTACAAGAATGTATAAACACACAAGAATCTCTTCTCAGCTTCTGTTACTCAGTATCCTACTTATAACCATTAACACTACTGTCCATTGATACTAAAGCCTGTGAATATTTGTTTCCTTTTA